AGTTATGAACCATGAATCTGAACTTCTTATTATCTTATCTTATGTCAACTTGGTTTGAACTGATGTATACATGTTCTTTACAGTTTTTCTTGTATTTCACCTGACGCAGTATGACACAGGAACTCATATATAGTCGTTATTTAAGATACAGTTTATGCTATTTCATGAGGACATCATCAGTCATGGACTCCAACTCTTCAAATTGTTTGTGACATTGAACGCAATGTCATGTACAGCAAGTGTAACCAAACAAAATTCAGTGATGCAGATCAGATAGCCCAAGAGTACCAACAGTTCCTTGACTCATGCGATGAGATTGAGACTTTCGCTGTGGGAGAGCCACCATAATAGGCAAGCTTTTGAGCCGTGCTCTGTGTGCTATATACAGAGCCCGAACCCTGAATTTTGATGCTGTGCTGCTATCCAAATTTTGGAAGCTGTTTTGGCTGTTTTGGCCTTGGGCAGTTGGCGTATGGGCCGCATGGGTGAACACTTAGCTGCGCTGCATCCAGTACTTCACTCAAAAGCATGTGTCCTTTTTTACTTGAAACTTGTACAAAAAAAATGAAGTGTTGACACAAGCTGTTTCTATGTGACATGCGGTATGCCACTGCCCCTGCAGTTGCGGGGTGACCGTCCGAATTGCTGCTCGTGAGACAGTGTGCTGGCTGGGATGGCAAGTCAAACTGTACTTCCAGGGCGAACCAGCGCTTAGAACATGAGCTGATTTTCGGATGGCAGATTGACAACCTGTCAGCGGAGTGTGAAAAGTGTTAGCTATATTTCCAGGTCTTGCCTCCCGATTGTTGGCCTCAGTGATGACCCTAAGCCCGGCCCATCATTCATCATTGAGCTAGGTACCACTACTCTTTGCGCATCTTTGCAGCCTTTTTCATAAGTAGTCGGGTTGAGTCATGCTGTTGGATTGGGTTGGGGTTCATGTTTTTTTTTTGCGAGTTGCCTGGCAGGTGTTTTGGAGTGAGCGCTTTGGATAGTCCAGTCGGGCCGTGAGCGCCTGTTCTTTTTGCCATGGATGACTTCAAACGCAATTGGGTGAGATTTTCATCAATCAGGCCATTGCGAGATGAATCGGAATATGTGTGATCCATGGTCCGATGGTTTGGCAGCACAAGTCACGAGAAAAGATGTCCGGGCTGGTTGAGCAATGTTGAACACAGGATCAAGCAGATTTTTCTCTCTTGTGCTTCATATAGTTTTGAGAGCCTCGAGTCTGAAATCTGAAGTCTGAGTCTCCAGTCATAAGTCATAAGTCATGAGTCCTTGTCTTTGTCGCTGCGGGCCTTGAGCCCGTGTCAATGTCAGGATACAAACTTGACAACATACAAAAGAAATTTGGGGAAAAAATCAAAAAGGTAACAGCTATTGTGAACAAAGGGCTCAATACATCATACGCAGACCAAAAAATTGCACAAATAAAAGAAACATGCGGGCAAAAAGGCTGGAAAAAAGGGGACAAACGGTGACAAAAGTCTGGAAAAAAAAAGAAAAATGGATACAAAAGGCTTGAAAAAATCAAGAAAAACGTGGACAAAAGGCTGGAAAAAGCAAGAAAAACGTGGACAAAAGGCGTGACAAAGGAAGAAAACACGTGGACAAAAGGCTGGAAATAAGCAGAAAAAACGTGGACAAAAGGCTGGAAATAAGCAGAAAAAACGTGGACAAAAGGCTGGAAATAAGCAGAAAAAACGTGGACAAAAGGCTGGAAATAAGCAGAAAAACGTGGACAAAAGGCTGGAAATAAGCAGAAAAAACGTGGACAAAAGGCTGGAAATAAGCAGAAAAAACGTGGACAAAACCTACCTTATGAACACCCTTATGAAAGGAAAATGATAAAGAATATATTAGTTTAGAATAGATAGTTCACGAGCCCCCCAATATATATATATATATATATCAGCCTCATGGCTTCATTGAATTGATTTTTTTCAATTTTTGCATTCATATTGAGCCAACAGTGGCTGATATTTTTCCTTGGAAATAATGAGCCAAAAATGGCTATACACATTGTGTGGATTATTTGTAATTTCAGCTTTCAAAAAGTTGAGCCAAAAGAGGCTGATGTATTTGTTATCTGTGAGCACCCAACCACACACATGAGCCAAACATGGCTAATGCAAAACCTGTTAGAACTCATGGAGCCAATTTTGCCCTTCATCTCAAGTGCCATGGAGTCAATGTGGTCACTTCCCCTTCATTCTTGGAGAAACTCACAGCTGCTTTGAGCTGTTTCAAATCAATGGCTTCCAGCTGGTCTGTTTCAATCCACACTGCAAAAGTCTTGTGCAAATGCTTCAAAGCCAGCATATGCCCAATTGCAACTTCTGTTCCTGTGTTGCTCACAAAAGTCATGATCTCACATGCATCAAATTTGTTGCCCACTGCACTTTCCATGTAAACCACATCGCCTTTGGAGCAAGTGCCATACAAAATCCTGGCTGTTTTGCAAGTCTGAAGGTTGTCCACATTGTGCCAAAGGTGTGCTGCCACTTTCTTCAATGGTTTTCCAGCAGGCTTGACACCTTCCATTGCAGCATCCAAAGCAAATGCATCTGGGCTTTTCACCCTTTCCAACTCCAAGGTGACCACTTCCAAATACACACTTTCTTCAAAGGCTCTGGTATTTTGAATGCCACTTGCAATTCTGGCTGGCACTTTGTTTTTCCTTTCCATGCAAAAACAAGGTGGGACGCAACCATGCTTCTCCAGCATCTCATGGAAATGTAACATCCAATGATGTTTTTTGATCATTTTCCAAGACAATTGGTTCCATTGGACCAAGCAATCTTCAGCAGCATGCTTTAAGTGTGCAGGCCGAACTTTGCCATGCCAAGAAGCTTGTAACAAATCCAGAAACAAAACCAAGGCCAAAAACAGGTTTGTCTCCTGAATGTGAACATTTGCAGGCACACACACTGTTCTGGCAAAATGTGCCAGCACAGAACACAGTGTCAACAATTCACTTGCAGTTGCATTGATCTTTCCATGGGCTCTGTGCTTGGGCAACCTCTTGCTGTCCAAAATAGTTTTCAATTGGATTGTGTTGAATGCCTTTGGTAGCACAAATTTTTGCACATAGCCATGCAGCAGCTCCGATTCCCCCAGAACTTCCAGCCACTTGAAGGCAGCTATATTGACCACCCCATTCGACAAGAGGCAATGCATCCAGTCCCAACAATTCTGGTCAGCAGGTCTCAACACATGTCTGGGGTCTTGCTTTGCCAGAAGGCTGTAAGGAGAATAGGACAAGCCAGCTGCTTGCTACCACATTGCAAACTCTTGCTTGGATGTGGCCCCATGCCTAGCAGACATTCTGTCCCAGCTTTGAAAATTTCATGGCTTTCCACCAAATGCAGCTGGCTGAAGTGTGTGTATTTGGACACCTCTGACATGTGTCCATTTTCTTCATCATTGACATCATCTGCAGCAAGTTGGAACACATTGGCACAATGCTGACAAAAACGACTGCCTGCATCTCCCTTTGTGCTCCAAGCAAATTTGGCTGCCTGGCCATCCATGATGAAGAAGCCAACTTGCAGCTTCAATCTTTTGGGACAGGGTTGGCCACCACCAGGCTCTTGCAACTGCAATCCCAAGTCTGTCACATTAGCACATGGGTTGTTGAAAATGCTATTCAGCAAGACAGCAAAAACTTGGCTCAAGTGGCCATCCAATGATGATACAATTGAAGATCGAACCAGCCCCAAAGTGATCCATGCAGATTCATTCTGTATTGCACATCCAAACTCTTTGATTGTTGCATAGATAGCCCATAGCTTTCTGGTTGGCTGGTTAGCCAAGACATTGCCAGGTGTTATTTCATCAGCATACATACAGATTGACAAGGCACTGTCACACTTGTTCATTGTTTGCTTCAACAATGCATAGAAACCACCTCCAGCCTTGAAGGCACCATGGATCCAACTCAACAAGTTTACTAGAGAAATTGTTTTCTCCACACCTGTCTTGGCCATCACTTTGTGATGGGCAATCAAAGGGCCATAGGCAGACATATTTTGGATCACTTCCTGACATCCTTCAGCCATTTGGTGTGGGTATATCATGTCAGGAACACCTTGTTCCTTCACATAATGCAAAATTTTGTGCAAAGCAGACTTAGAGCAGTGGGGTATCGACTTTCTGAGTGTAGTCAACTTGGCCAATTTTTGTGGCCTGCTTTCCATGGCTTTGCCAGCAGCAGCCCTTTAGGCTCACTTGCCCATACAATGTGCAATTGGTAATTGTTGCATTGGCAAATTTTTGTGGCCTGCTTTCCATGGCTTTGCCAGCAGCAGCCCTTTAGGCTCACTTGCACATACAATGTGCAATTTGGTAATTGTTGCATTGTATACCTGTCCATGCTTTTTTGAAATCCAAACAATCTTTTCCAAAAGTATTTCTATTTGTTACACTTTGCCTTATGTATTTCTAAAACCAAATTCATTCTAATGCTTCACCTTTGGCATCTTTGGCTTTCCAACACTTGGACCATCTTGGGCACATCAAGCAGGAGCTTGTGACAAGCATACCCAAGCAAAATTCCAGCTACACATGGTGAGACTGACTGTCTGCATTACATATACATGAGCCACAAAAGGCTGAACCCAAAGCAAATTTGAGCCAACAAGGCTTATTGCTTTTGAGAAACATGAGCCATTAGAGGCTGAGCCAAAGCAAAACTTGAGCCAACCATGGCTGATCAAATGCATTCTTGCAAACATAATTTCACAGCTATAAAAGGCTGATCAAAAGCACACAAACTATTAGCAATTATATATTCTGTATTATCCATGTGGAGGAGCCATGAAGGTTGAGCAAGAAAAACTTGAGCCAACAGTGGCTGATACATGTTTGGTGACTCTTCTTTCATGCACACAGGACAATATCCATTTTTTGAAGGCTCCAGCAGTTCAGGTTCATGTTCAGTAGACCTTCACCCCTGCAAGTTGTGCTTGTCCAAACAAGGCACTTGCCACCCACATCTACTTTGCCCAAGCTGGTAAAGGGAGACTGAGCTTACTTAGAAGTTTCAGCTTTGTCTTTTCACTTGCCACCATGGTGTTTTGTCCACCATTTCCTCCAAGCTGCCCGACCATTGAGCCTTTCTCCACCAAAGCTAGCTTTGGCACATGCGTCACAACCAAAAGGATCACCTCTGCACCTGGAACAACCCCACACAGGGTTCCTTTGGTCCTTTGGCTCAACCTTTTGCTGTGCACACTTCTCACCTTTCTTCTTGGCAACTGTTTTGGCCACTGCCTTAGCTTTGGCTGCTGCAGGCCTTTTCAACACTGGCTTCTTGTTCTTGTCTTTGTGCTCCTTTGTCTTTTGCCCTTGTTTCTCTTGAAGTTTCTTGAAAGCTTGGTCTTCATAATCCTTCAAAGAAAGTTCTTTTTTCTCATTGTGGTCATTCTTGGTTTCTTCATGCCCAGGTGGCACAGTATCAGCAACATGTGCCTCTTCTTCAGGTGGTGTGTCAGTCAAAGGCAAAGCTGGGTTTGGAATGGTAGCCAAAGTTCCATTTGCCTGGGTGGTCCCCTCTCCCTGACTGCATCCACTTGGCAAAGCCAGCCTGCCAGAGGCTGCTGCTGAAGGTTCACCAGAAGTGGAAAAACTCTTCTTGTAGTCAATCTTCAAGGGAGCACTGTCCATTCCTCTTGCTGTGGCCATCATCATTTGCATGAAATCCATGCAAACACCAGCCAAGGAATCTGTGGAGCTGAAAGACATGTTTCTTTTCATGGCTGGTGCTGCAGCACCTCTGGTCTCTGCATGGGTGGACCTGACAGGAATGTCCTTGAGCAAAGCACTAACAGTAGTAGCCACCATTGGCCCCACATGGCTTGGCTGGTCATCCTTCCAGTAGCAAGCATCCATGAACTCCTGAGCTTTGTAGGCACAAAATCCAGCTATACACTTGTGTTTCTTTATCATTTCAAAAATAAACAAAATATAATGCATCCAATTCACTGGTCCAATGTCAGCAGGTTTGTCTGGGTAGGTAGCCAGGCCAGGAACTAAGCTTGGTTGCTTGCTCTTGGTGAAGGCTTCATGGAGGTAAGCTGACATTTTGTAAATTTCACCACCAGGTGGCTTGGGCTCTCCCCTCATCATAGCCAAGTGCACCAAGAGTGCAACCCCATGTTTTTTTGTCGCTTCCCTCACGCTTTTCACACCAATAGCCCTGAGCCTTTGAACAGCAATGTGCACTGATTCTGTGAAAGGAGCCTTCTGCAATTGCACCCATTCCTTGGCACTAAAGTAGTTGTACAAACTTTGCAAGGTTTGAGGCACATTCTGTAGTTTCAAGGAGCCACTATTCATCTGCACCATCCTCTTCTCCATAGTGTCTTGCAAAGCCTTTTTCATGTCTTCTGGCAATTTGGCAGCATCCAAGGCCTTGATCAAATGAACCAAAAGCCTGGGTGTCAAACTGTCTATGCCATCAATTTTGCTTTGCAATCCTGTCACCAGGTGGGGGATGGTAGGTCCAGTGGGCCTGAGTGAGTAGAGGTCTTCCAGGTCATTGATTTCCTTCAGCAAATCATCTGCTGTCCAAGCGCTCATGGCTGTAGTGGCCAGTGGTAGACAAAAGGGTAAAGCCAACAATGTTTTGATTTGTTGTGGTATTAGGTGTTAAACTCATATGGTGTAGCAGTCAAAGCGTGTCTTTGTTAGGTCATTCTGGTTGTTTGTTTGGTCCTGTAGTAAGGCGTGTCTTTGTTAGGAAAGCTTCTAGCCAGTGCTGCTTAGCCACACCAGCATCATCTTTTTTTCAACAGCATCACTGAGGAGCCTTTGTGGCATTATCAGAACTTTAGGAGTATGAGCCATAAAAGGCTGGTTTACCAAGTTGTAAACTGACAGCAGCCTCAAGTGGCTCAATCTAATGTATCTCAACCCATCCTCACAACTTCAATGAGCCATCCATGGCTGGATCAGCCAGCTATGGCTAGAGACTTTGAATAGAGTCTTAGCTGATAACTTTTAGCCAAAACAGGCTGTGGCTAGAAAATGAGACAAACATGGCTTTGAATATATTCTTAGCTGATACAAATTAGCCAAAAGAGGCTTTGCCTAGAACATGAGCCAAACATGGCTTTACCAGCTAATGAGCTGAAAAGAGCTGATTGCACTCACACAGATCACCTGATTCCTTTTTTTCTATCTTTCTCTCAGCAGCTTCTTGAGTCTACTCTGGCAGCAAGTGGGCTGGAGGGGGCTCAAACTCTCCTGTCTCGATCTGCCTGCCCAAGTGACTCTCAGCAGCTTCTAGAGCTTGATCATCCATGAAGACATTGCCACTGATGCTCTGCAAAAACTGCTTCAAAGGCACCCATTCTTCCCAGCCTGTCAGGAAATATCTCTGCAAGGATGGAAGGTAAGGGTTTGAAGCAAACAGTCTAATGGATTACCCAGGCAGAATTGAAGGTAAGGAACCAAGAGCCAAAACTGGCCAGTACTTTTTTTTTGGTTAAGGCAGTCTCAAGACAAAACTTGCTGTTACAAACGCAACAAAACATGTTGTCTTTGTGTGACACACATATATATATATAGGAATGTATATATCACTTCCACTGCTATATTCCAGGCCTGAAGTGTATGTTCTCACATACCAGTAGGTGCGATTTCCATCTCTATGCCACCATACCCTGAGCTTGCCAGTGTAGTCAAGCTCTGGTTGACTCCTCTGACGAGCAATGGTTCCGAGACCAGGCATATTGGTGAACACAAAACAAGTCGAAGGTTTGAAGCTAAAAATGCTTCAAGCAATAAATATTTGTTTGAATTGCGATCGAGACAGCAGAAAATTTCAATTCAGAAATCTGAATTGAAATTTAAAGAGTTTGAATTTCAATTCAGAAATCTGAATTGAAATTTAAAGAGTTTAAATTTCAATTCAGAAATCTGAATTGAAATTTAAAGAATGTGAATTTCAATTCAGATTTCTGAATTGAAATTTAAAGAGTTTAAATTTCAATTCAGAAATCTGAATTGAAATTTAAAGAGTTCGAATCTCAATTCAGATTTCTGAATTAAAAAAATATTGCTCTTCATGTCCAAACAGGTCAACAAAGCCAAAATTAGCTCACAATGCTACCTGTGTTTCCTAGATTCTTGTCTACAATAGTGTATGTATGAGCCAAAAGAGGCTGAGAACAAACAAAAAACTATGTCACACACACAAGCCAATCAAGGCTAATGGCAACATGAGCCAAACCAGGCTGATGGATATGCATTTTTTTACATATCCTTTTTAGCCAGCAAAGCGGTCTGCTGCAGAGGCTGTGATTTCTGAAGCCCACCATAGTATGGCACCACAGGCTTGTTGCTTTCATGTCTAGAATTCCTAATTATGATCTTGACCTATGTCTATAATGTGATGTATGATATCATTTCGTCTGGGCTTCACTCACCACATGTAGCCAATCCTCTTGGCTCCTCTGGGCCCCCAGCTGTTCAATTGGGACCTTAAGTTGAGAACCTGCCCTTTGACCAGGTGGTGATTGCTGAACAGAGTCATCACACGCTCTAACTCCTGCCACTCTCCCTGGGCCCACAGCGCCATGAGATGCACGCATCGATTCTGCCATCCAGTCTTTGGATTTCCATCCCACTGAACTTCTCGAGGATATCCACCAGGAGGCCCAGCGCGCATAGTCTCTCCACGACCATACTGCCACTGAGATTCATCTTGAGCGACCTGATGTGCATCATCATCCTGGTACATGGCAGCGCTCCTCTCCCACTCTGGCGCTTCTTGCGACCAAGCCTGCTCATCCCATGTCTGATCATTGTTCTCAGGGGCTGCTCTCTCGTCCCAGGTCTGGTCCCTGTGTGTCCTGCATGGCTGTTCTTGTTGGAATCCCTGCTCTTGCCACTCCTCTTCCCAGGTCACACTGGTAGGCAAAGGATCTGCTGCAGTCGGGTGTGGAGGATCTCGCTGAGACATTTCTGGAGTGTCACTCCAGGAAGTGTGCTTTGTCTCCTGCTCTTCCTGCACTGGCATCTCAGAACTCTGCTGGACGTGCGACATAGGTTCATTGGGCCCACAATCCTGCACATACTTTTTCTGAAACATACTTTACTCTCCTTAGTAACATGCCATTACTAAATCACATGAAGTATCTTGGAACAAATTAGTATGAGCCAAAAGCAGCTTGAATCAGAAACAATACGCAACACTGGTCACTCTGGGGCCTCTGTCCCAGAAGGCTTCTGTCCATCAGGTTGCACCTCGGTCACCCTGGTCATGTAGCTGACATAGTGAGCCACCTCTTGCTCTGCCTCTTCCTCATCCGCTTCGCGTTGTCGTAGTAAGTGCTCGGCCTCATCCGCAGGTATACTCAAGGCATTTGTAGCAAGGCCTCCTGCAGCACCCTCAGAGCGCAGCAGATCCTGAAAGTAGGACTCACCATCCTGAAGCTCTTGTCGTCCCTCCTCCTGCTGTTGGTCTTGCTGGTGGTACCAGGCTTCCTCCTCTCTGATCCATTCATCAGGAGAATCCGCAGGTTCTTCCTTGATCCTCTTTCCAGCTCTTCGTTGTATGGCTTCCAAGGCTTCTTGGTTCTACAGGGCAGGTGGCAGTGGAAACACCTACAAATACAAACACATCTCACCAATTTTTTTCTATGCAACTAGACACACAAGGCTGTGCCAGAGATACAGGAAACTTCCACGCATAAAAACCACAGTGAGCAAAAACCAATGAGCCAAAAATGGCTGGTAAATCTCTTACCATAAGCAAGGCCTGGCGAATCAGTGCTTCCAGCTCTTCTTTCTGCTGCTCTTCATAGAGATCCACATCTATTGTGGGAGCTCTTTTCATGGGTGCGCTTCCTTCTTTGCTTAAGACATAAAACATCACAGGTCATGACTCTCAATGACTTCTGTGCTGGCAGAATGCAAAGAAAAGCCAAAAATGGCTTGTGGAAAAGAAAATAAGCCAACAATGGTTGTTTAAATACCTTGGCCCAAAACTGGCTTCAGAAACTTGAGCCAACATAGGCTAACAGACTATGAGCCAAAATGGGCTTCAGAAACTTGAGCCAACATGGGCTAACTAACTATGAGCCAATAATGGCTGACATTGAGTAAGCCAAAATTGACTCACAACATGTTAGCCAAAAGGGGCTGACCAAAAATGAGCCAAAACTAGCTTCAGATAACAGACTAGGAGCCAATAATGGCTGACATAACCTAAGCCAAAATTGGCTAACAACATGTTAGCCAAAAGGGGCTGATCAAAAATGAGCCAAAACTGGCTGACAACATAGGAACCAAACTTGAATTGAAAGATGGGCTAGCCCCCAGGTCTTTTTTCACCTCTCTTGGAAGACCATGGCTCTGAGCGAACCTACTCCTTATGCTTCCTTTTCTTTTTTGGAGCTCCCTCATCACCAGGCTCACCTTCACTTTCATTCTCCACTGCCAAAGCTCTGGTCAACAAGGTGTTCTGAGGGACAGCCACTTTGTTGGTCAACACAGGAAGTTTCACACCTTTCACTGTCATCATCTTCACTTCCATGTTGGGCTCTTCCTCCGGTGGAATGCTTTGGACATAGTGATAAGGCACCAACATTCCTTCAGCCTCCAAAGTAAACTCTGTCAAACTTTTGAAACTTTGGACAGCAAACTTGTCCTGCTGGAACTCCAAGATGACATTCTTGACCTTGGAAGAGTCTTTGCCTTTCAGAGATTGCACTGTGCCCATGGGGTCGAGCACCAACTGACCTTTCTTCAGCTTCTGGGAGCAGAACAAGCCAGGTCCAGGCATGGAAGCAAAGAGCAAAGAGCCATGCACCTCTGAAATGCTGCTTTGGAAAGCTTCCAGGAGAATGAGCTGCAGCTGTGTCTTCTTCAGCTCAGCTTTGAACACATCAGTGGTGTGTGCAATCTTCAAGCTTGCAGCATCAGAAGGGCAAAGCTTGGGAGGCTGCCTCTTTGTTGCCTTCCACGTTTTTAACTTGCTGAACTCGACTTGAACTTCCTCAGGCACATCCAGCACAGGAGTATGGGTAAAAACCATGTGGTCTTCAGCAAGACGCACCAACACAAAGACCTTGTCATCATAGTCCTTGCACTGATAGAAGCCACCAAGCTTGAGGTGAGGATTGTCCAGAAGAGCCAACTCACTGCTGGAGGCTGACAGCAAATCTTTGACTTCTGGTCCTTGTCCAGTTTCAGCATTGCTTGAAGCTGCAGCAGACTGGGCAGAAGAGCCTTGCACTTCGTCTCCAAACATTTTCACTATGTCTTCCACAGACTCGAAGGGAGGGTCTCTTGAATGCTTTTCCTTTCCCAAAATGTGCAAAACCACCCTGCAGCCCAGCTTGCCCCAAGCCATCCTGGCACCATCACTGTTCCTCTGCTGGCAATGCTCCCAGGCATTTTTGAGAATATCTTCCATACTCTTGGTTTTTGACTTCAAGGCACCTTTGAGCTTGTCCAAGTCAGACTTGTACACCAGCCTGCTTAAGCCATTCTCACATTTTTTGGTGGTGAGCATGCAACACAAGAGGGCTGCCCTGGTTGTTGTCCATCTTAAAGTCGAAGTGACTCAAATGGTGCATCATCTCACTTCCAATGAGGATGGATGGCCCATACTTGGTGCAGAAATCTTTCATCAGCTGCAACAAAGGAAACTGATTTCCTCCTGCGTATAGCTTCACAAAATGAGCAATGTCCACCAAATAGGGTGCACAAGCTGGCAGACCAGCCTTCACTGCTTCCACTGCTTCAGCACTGCTTCTGCCCTGCTTCAAGAGACTTGCAATTTCCAGCATTGCTTCAAGTTCTGAAGTCACCTTGACATTTGCATTCGAAGAGTTCAAAGAGGCTGCAGCCCAGGATGGGAAGGTAGGGAAAGCTTCTTCCACTTCTGGCTTGAGAACCACCCATTGCCACCCTTCATTGAGTAGGCCTTTCAATTCAGATGGCACATGCAGCTTGTCACCATTGGGACTCATAGCTCCTTGCTCCAGGGCCCTGCAATACATCACCCAATGGCTGCAGCCCAATGTCAAATAAGCTTCTTGCCCTTGCACACCACCAAGTAGGCCACTAGCTTTGTCACAGCAAGACTGGTTCTTTGCCATTTGCTCCTTTCTGGCTGCAGGGTCTCTTGCAATCTCTATGCACACAGAGCTGGCAGCCAAAAGGGAATGCTTCAGGCCAGTGCTAACAACATTTTAACCTTTCCTGTGCACATCGAAAGGGTTGACCATGGAGCCACCTCTATTCTGAGGGTGACACAACAGACTTGATGGCTTCAATACCATGTCTGTGGCCAAGCCATGCTTCTTCAAGATGGCCAAGGCATTGTCCAGCTTGGCATTGATGCCAAGAGCAGGGTCATCCAGCACTTTGGCCACCAAAGCCTTCACATGGCTATCCATGGCTTCCAGCCAGTCTGACCAACAATCAGGAAAGTCAAGTCCCTGGAGTGTTGTCGATTCATTTTATGTTTTGCATTTCTTTCTGGAAGTCGAATCTTGTATGTGTGTTGCTATAGAAGAGGCTTGCAAGACCATGCTTTCACCCACATTGTGGCTGACTATAGCCAAACAATCCAAAAGAAACATGCTTACACTTCAAGACATGTTGAGCCACAGTGGGCTAAAGTTGCTACAGCAAATGACATGAGCCACAAAGAGCTGGTGGACATGCAAGTTTTGTAAGTATGAGCCAGAACCAGCTAGTAAAGAAACAAGAGTTAAAGCGAGCCACAATGGCTTGTGTGCTGGCATTGGTTTTGAGCCATAACAGGCTAACAACTTAACTGCCCAACAGGGAAGCCACACAAAGGCTGCAATTGAGCCACAAAGGCTGAAAAGTATATAAGCCAAAAAAAGGCTACTAATATTGGATCACCTTGGTTCAGCCAACATGGCTTGTCTTGCTGGCAGCTGAGGTCTGTGCAGCTAAAACATTTTCGCCACTCTTGGCCAACTCAGCTGTCATCCTTCTTCTCCTGCCCCTCTTTGACCTTGCTGAAGTTACCAGATTTTTTGTATTGTCTGGAGGCTGGCTTTTCCAAGCAATCAGGCTGAATGTATTTGAAGACTGCACTCAGCATGTCCTCATCCAAAAGGACTTGAAGGTCTGCAACCAATGCTCTTTTAGCAGGACACAGCAGCTTCACTGCAACTCCATGCACATCTATGGTCACTGTTGTTTCCACCTTCCTGATTTTTTTGGAGACAGGTTCTAGTGCTTCATCACCTTCGTCATCCCAAGAGGTTGCCAAGCCAGTACCCTTCAAAGCTTCATTTCTGAGGTTCTTCAGCTCAGTCATCTTGGCACCATTACTCAAAGAAGCATTTTTGCAAGTCTTTGCACAAATCAAAAAATTGATTTGCTGATTGGTGGAGGCGAGCTTCACATAGGTGTTGCCATCATCATCCTGGAATCAGGGAAATTATACATATGGCACTGGTTCATCTTGAAAACATATACAAACCATTTCCTTTTCCTGCCAACTACCTTGTTTTGCACATCACATGCACAGAGGTCCTTCACTAGCAAGGAAGAAGGGATGAGCACAGGCTTGCCATTGTCAAACTTCAGGGACACCTGGTGGCAAATCTCTACCTTGCCAGCTGGCACTTCATCCCCAACACCTGGCCCTTCCATTGTTTCTTGAGCTGGGAGCCAAAGAGCTTTCCTGCTGTCCATGCTGAACCCAAACCCTAAATCCCATTTTGCCAAGGTGGCCAATCTTTCTTGAATCATGTGCCATTGGCAAAATGATTTTGCCTTTGGCAGCACACAGGACACTCAACTGTCAAACTTGGACATGAGCCTGCTGGCTTGTGTGTCAGCCAAAAAAGGCTACTGTGAAATATAAATTTCATTGTTTTTTTTTAAAAAAAACCTTAATTTTGTAAAATTATAACTCAGCTAACCATTTAGCTGAATTAGCTTTAACTGGTTAGCTAACCTTGGTAAACATGTATGTTTTTCTTGACAGCATTAAGATGTTTAGCTAACAATTATAAAAAAATAGTAAATATCATAATTCAATTGTCCTGTTTAGAGCAATTACTACTGACTTAGCATGCAGTTAACATATAGTTAGCATATAGTTATGAAACATGAATTAATTAGTGCAATTAGCTTAACTAGATATCTAACCACCAGTTCATCTAAGTAGTAGCCGGGTAAGGGTGGATAGTGGGTGGCAGACAGTGAGTAGCATCAGTGGCGCAGAGTCAGGGGAGGAGGAGGAGGCGAAGGCGGAGGAGGAGGAGGTGGAGGAGGTGGAGGAGGAGTCGTCGTCGTCATCGTCGGCCCTCGTCGCTCTCACTCGTTCCTCGTGCTCGCGCCAACCCACTATCCACCCTTACCCGGCTACTACCGATCATGTTGCCCACTACCACTCGTCGCTCTCACTCGTTCCTCGTGCCCGCGCCAACCGCCTTGACGACGACGACTCCGACGACGACGACGACGACGCCGACGAGCTGCGCTTGTGTGCTTTGATGGTGCTTTTGTGGCCTCCTTGTGTGATGTTGTGGAAGAGGTGGTGTTGCGCAGCTGCGCGTGGCGGTGCCTATAAACAAGCGGGAGGGGGGTGCAGGGGGGAGGCGCTGCGCCCGCAGGGCGTTCCATACTTCCACGAACGAATGTTGATGTCGGTTGACGGCGTTTGATGTATATATAGACTTGGTGCTGTTTAGTGGTTGCTTGGTAGCTCTTTGGGTGTCCCTTGTCACTATCTTGTTCCTTTTTTCTGTACTCCAGTAAGTTAAGCTACCCACCTCCTTGGTTGTGATTGTTGTCCCCTGTTGCTTACCTTGTCACTTTCTTTAATCTTTAATCCAGTAAGTTAAGCTACCCACCTCCTTGGTTGTGGTTGTTGTCCCCTGCTGCTTATTTTGTCACTTTCTTTAATCCAGTAAGTTAAGCTACCCACCTCCTTGGTTGTGGTTGTTGTCCCCTGTTGCTTATCTTTTCACTTTCTTTAATCCAGTAAGTTAAGCTGCCCACCTCCTTTGTTGTGGTTGTTGTCCCAGGTTGCTATCTTGTCACTTTCTGTAATCCAGTAAGTTAAGCTACCCACCTCCTTGGCCATGGCTGTTCTTCCCTGTTGCTATCTTGTTCTTTTCTGTAACCCAGTAAGTTAAACTCTCCACTTCCTTGGATGTGATTGTTGTGAGGCTGGTCATTATGTTTCTTTCACTCTAAAGTTACCAAATTAGAAATCTGAAATTTCATGCGTCAAATTGTCGTGGGACAATATTCATGCAACTTTATATTTTGAAATTTCTTGTCGAAGATGTAACACACTTAGTCATTGAATTCTGAGTTTGTACTGCTCGAGCACGTCGTGTTAACTGTGGGGGTCCAGCAGCGAAGCCATGGGTTCGGTCGAGTTGAACAGTTTTGAAGTCGCTGTTGCCCTGAGCGCATTGGTTCTGGATGCGACCATCAAGTGGGATGACGTAGTAGAGAAACTGGAAGACAATCCTGATTGGCTGACAGTTTTGGACATCAGCCAGGAGGAGTTGGACCAAACTTCTCGCCTGATGAGAAAGTTGATGGATAATGCGCACGATCGCAAGAGCGATCTGAAAACTGTGCTCAAGCAGGCGATGCTTCCAACCCCTGCTCCCGCCATGCCCGAAGGCCCTGCAGAAGCAAACGTGCAGGCGTCTGAGGATCACGAGGCAGCGAGCGCATCTGGACCTGGAGCGTGAGGTTATCATTTCTGGGCCTAATGATTTCCAGTTTTGACGCATGTGTCTATGGACACAGTGACAGTAAGAAGTGAGTCTACGGACACACGAGTGACGTCTACGGACGCACCAGTGAGTCTACGGACACACTCAATCTGGCATCCCGTCTTTGGATGGGTGTGCCTGGGAATCTACGGATTAGTCTACGGACTGATATATAGTGGATACGGACTACGGTCTGCCCAGGCAGTTTTCATTGTAATCCGTCCACGGATTTCTGATAAAGGCTGTAATCCACGGATTGGATGAGTTTAAAGCTAGGAAGATGAGCAATCTACACTACACTGACGGGCTTATTATGGCAAGTGACTTTGGCGACCTCTGATCAGCTCAGCTCGAGTGTGGTGAAAAGAAAAGTGTTGCTGCTGGAGCACCCTCTTGTTGCAGTTGCTGTCTTCAACGCTCTCTTGCTTTGCGGCTCAAAGTTCCCCATTTTAGACTCGTCCCCACGGTAGGTCACTTAGCTTATAAACAGTGTCTCGATATCCAAGGGGTGCCAGTTAAATATATATATATATGCAAACAGTATGACATACTTGCAATTATGTATATATATATATGTATCTATATATATATATATGTATATTTTTTAGTTCACACGTAGTTATTTGGCTCAACATTCAACAAATCCGCCATCTCATTTATTTGGTCGCCCTTTCGGCGTTATGGACCGGTCGGGGATGCTAAAACATTTGGTTCCTGGGGCAATTGTCCAGCAGCACTTGAAGACGTGCAAGCTGGGAGCGACAGACTGTGGTTTGTGCGCAGTCCATCAAGCGTGGTTGTCCCACAAGAAGCCTTGGCTCAGGGCAATCTTGGTCGATGGTGAAGCTAAACTTGGCTCAGGGCAATCCTGGATATACTGGCAACGGAAAGAGAAAAAACCCTGGCAAGAGTGTACAGCGGAAGGCTCCGCCTGGGCGAAAATGCTCTGGGACAACGACAAAGAAGGCCCGGCAGACTCAGACGTCACTGGGGGTAATAAAAAGAGAAAAAGGGCCGCCCCCCCCGGCACCGGTCAGGGCTGATCCCGAGCGGAAGCGCCGGGATCGTGATCCGGACTACGGTCCAGACGGTTCTGGTGGCAGCTCTGGGGCAGCAGGGTCCAAGGACGGCAGCCTCCTCTTGCAGATGTGGCAGACGACGCTTAGAGAGCTTAGGACTTAGTTATAGGACTGAGTAGATGGATGCTGGAATGGACTTAGACTGACAAGCAGTCTGACAGAAGCAAGACTGGGCGTGAAATAAGAGATGGCTGAGTTGAAGTTGAGAATCCATCAAAAAGGGTCTTTTTGTCATTGAAACAACTTGTAATAAATAAATGACAATCACATTTAACTTCCATTTTCAAAACACTTATATAATCTTGTATCTTATATTGGCCACTTTCGTCGCGTCACTGAGGGCATCTTGGCAGTTGACTTCGCAATTACTCGTCGATGTCTAAAATACAGCGAGTTTTAATATAATATATACAAGCAATTTAACAAATACAACGTAATTATAACCAGCCAACAGTTATATAGTATAACCAAATTAACACAATATAACCGAGTTAGTATAACCAATACAATGTGTGACATTATGTGCGAAAACCCACATGACATGAAACTTACCCTATAGATCAGGTTAGGCTATTAAGAGCAAAATATCTTATATCCTATTTTCTATCTAATAGTCAGGATGCAAATAGGATATGCATAACCTACGCATAACCTAGAAAAAGGGTAGGTTATATCCTATCCATTCAAATAGGATAAACTATTTTTAGGTTATATACTCAAATAGGATAACCTATTTTTAGGTTATTTGCTGAATAGGATATAACATCTCCAAAGCCACCTTTCTGTTTACAAACATTTACAAGATATTTTTCATCAGAAAAACTGTAGCCCCAACTTCTCCAATAAAGCTTTGAAGTTTCACTAACATCACCTGAGGCAAGAAACTGCACAAGATATCGATGAGGCAGTGGATGCAAAGATCTCAGGACAGCTTTTTTTTCAGCTCTGCCACTCCAAGTGCATGGCAATTCGCCAATGTTCTAAAGACTTCATTGGGCCTGACAAAGGTGTATTTCCCTTTGTGCAAGCTTGTGTGAGCTGCTGTACAGTGGACATCATATCTTCTCCAATGAAACACCAAACAAGCCTTGGGTTTAAATACCTGCTCAGCAATGCACTGTGGCAAATTGCGTGGGTCTTGCTGGTGCATGTGAAAAGACCTTGCTTTTTCAAGTCAGTCTCTTGGAAGTGGCACCAGAGTAAGTGACCCAAGTGTCCATAAGCAAAGACAGCTTCTTGGAAGGCTGCTGCATCTTCATCGCCTTGACCAAAAAGAACCCAGGCAGGGCAGACAGTGGACATGACACAGGGAAACCTTTTCTACATTGAAAATCCAAGTGGCTGAAGGCCAGGGCACTCTTGTTCTCAAAGATAATTTCTTCACATCTGCAGCTCATCTGAAGCAAATACAATACTTGCTGGTGCTGCTCATTTGTTTCATCGTAGCAAGATGACCAATAGGCAAGCAAAGGTTCCCCAAGGCACTTGATCTCTGCTGCCTTACCTCTCAGCTTGACAGGCCCAGACTTTCTAACAAACATTGTGAGTCGGTTCAGGTTTGAATATTGTTGCCTGGTTGAATGGGCCTTGTAGTAGTCCTTGATTGCAGCCTCCATCTGCAACATGTTGTTTTGTGGTGTGTCTTCTCCAATAACAAAACATAGCAAATACATAATACTTGCAAAAAATATTGATCTGCTCCTAAATACTTTGCATGCATCCAATCTGTGGCGATTAAGACTGCAGTCAGACCACTGCATTCAAAAATCCTACTGGTGCTCCTGTCTGGAGAAAGTCGCCATTCAGCTGGTTTCCAGCAAGTAGCAATCCAGCCTGCATGTTGCTGCCAATTTCTCCAAGTGGTACCTCCTCTCTTTGTGCACTTGCACAAGGCACATGGTGACTTGGCACTGCTCCATCGCGGCAGCCTGAGAAATAAACTTAAGTAGTCCAAATCTCCCAGCAAGCCAGTAATGCAGGCAACCCAGTTGCCAGCCAATGGTTTTCCACCTCTTCTTGCATGAAGACTTCCTTTCGGGTACCTTGCTGGCAAGAAGCATAATCTCATTGCATGGCCTTCTAAGTTTGACTGTTTTTGGGTTAAGGAAGCTGGACATGATGCAAGCTTAGCCACAGACGACCTCTATGGTCTCTCCGAGGCCATTTACCAGATTGCATGCAGTTAAAGCTCCAACTCAAGATCTGCCACACAGAGTCCATGGTGCCACCTTCTGCAGTAGAGGCAAGTTTGTCGAAGACCTGGGCAAGAACCTCCAATAACCTAGTGCACAAGCAATAACCTCCAATAATTGCAGAGGTAAAATATGAACCAGTAGTATGCTGCCAGAACAAAAATTGCAGGAAATGCAAAAATCATTCGAATAGCATCCAAAGGACTGTAAAGGTTAGCAAACATATGTCCTTGGAATTGCCTTTGCATAGTGCTGAGCTCCAGTGCAAAGCTAAAAGGTTCTTTGCCCACACCTTGCCAATTCCTGTGATTGGCACACAGTCCCCATGGAGATTGATTGGTATGGCTCGCTCCTGGAAGGATGGAACATCAAGCAGGGGGTGGTTTGGAAACCCAGGGTGAAATTTCATTCTGGACCAGAAGGTTCTCAAGGCTTCAGCGCCATCTGGGACCATAAGCTCCAGGAACTTGCTGTGGTATTTCTCATACAGTGTTGCAAAGAGCTCATGGGGAAGGAGCAAGGCAATGGTCTTGTCTATGTCGCCTTTGAAAGGAATTTTTGCCTCAGTGGGATTGAAGTGGGTTTGTTGCTAAAATTATTTGGCAGCTGGGTTCTCAATTGCAGCCTGGGTACAGGGAAGAGCTTTGGCAAAGGGCTGTTGATGTATTTCATGACATCTCTGTGCATGTTGTTGGGAAACTTTCCTGCTGTTCCTAACCCAGCCAAGAACTGCAAGTCTGCTAGGTTGCATTCAAAAGGTTGCATATCTGCAACAGCCTTGTGGGCAAGCTCCTGGGCATACTGAATTGATATTCTGCCCCAAGCCCAATCTTTGAGGAGCTTGGCAGCCAATTGGCTGGGTGCAGGCCTTGCTGAATCTCTGGCTTCAGCAGCTTGGATTCTCTTCCTGGGGCCTGTCCTTTGTCTTTTTCTTGGTTGCGAAGATTCCCTTTCCATGGCTTCAATTGGAAAAGGTAAACACCAAAAATTAAGAAAAAGTTGAACACAGCATGCAGCATGCCAATTAACCTGTGAGGAATCGAATTTGTCAAATGTTTCTGTGCTTGAGCCTTTTGACAACACATTTTTTTTTCTGACAGCCTTATTCTCCAATATTTGTGAGCCACACAGCCCAATGGAACTCCACAGAGCTTCTCAAATAACTTTCCCCCATGCAATTCTCCAATACAATTCTTCCATACAATTCTCCAATACAATTCTCCAATACAATTCACCAATACAAGTCTCCAATAATCCTCCAATACATGTTCTATGCATTCCCCAATCCCCCCCAGCTGCTGCCAGTGCATTTTTTGCCACTGCTCATATGGTCTTGGCAGCTAGTTTCCAAAAAAACGGTTTGCCAGCTCAGTTGTCAGTCTTTGAGGCACCTCCACATTCAAACTTTCTTCCCAGCCACTTCTAAAGTAGCAAACCCTGTGAACTTCATCACCTTTCTTCACAAAGGATCTTCTCCTTAGAAGATGTTCTGACATCTTTCACAAAGATGCCCAGAAATACCTTTGGACATGACTGCTTGCAGCTGAAGGTCGTGATGGTGTCTCTGGGGTAGCCTGGCATCCTGTATCTTTCCCACAAAGGAAAAGTGATCCTCCTTTCTTCTTTGGAAAAACGGACCTTAGTATGGCAGGCTGCTTCTCAGAGCAGAGGCACATGCTTTGCAAAAATAGCAATATTGAAAGCTAAGTTGCTATCTGTCCATTGGAATGGATGTAGTCCACTATGGTGATTGCAGGAGCAGGTGCCTTCGGCATCTGAACCAAAAAGCTCTTGGAAACCTTTCAGGCTACATTCTGCTTTTTTCAATGCAAAATATGTGATGAATTTGCCTGGATAAACACAGCTATTCTCCAATACTTAATATGCAAATTCAATTGATTCTCCAATACCACTCTCTAATAGCATTTCCACATGTTTCAGAAGCTGTAAAGCCTTCACCTCCAAAAGTCAAGTTGAAAGTACAGATGCTTTTCATGAAGGCACTGCAAGGCCTTTGCACAGCCCTATGATACTACTTGGCACTGTGTCCAATGGCAGCAGACACTTTTTCCCTTGGCTCTGAAGACGTCAAAATTTGTAGGGCCCTCTCAGCAACCTGGAAAACCAGCAAGCAGCCTATAGAAAAAAAATGCCATGGCTACAAAATGTTCAACATAGCCTGGCCTCAGTGCCTTAGAGCAGCTTGCGAATCTTCAGGGTGCTCTTGAGGGACTGGAGGGTCTCATAGGCTGTGCTGGTGGTGTTTGCAAGCTCAGAGATAGGCTGTCATCCACAGCCTTCTGTGTCAGCACAGTGTTTGGGATCTCCTGCCACAGGACTTGAAGCCATTACAAGCAATGATTCTTGTCACCTGCCCCCGATACCAAATACAGCTACAAACACACATACACATGTAAATGCCTGTTGGAAATAGTTTCTAATACCTCTCAATAGAAATTATTCAGCTGCACAAATAAGCACAGTCAGGCTCCTTCCATAGAAGCACATCTTGCAACTTGCTGTGGTTTGCCTTGAAGACAGAGAAGCACTCCTTGAACTGGCCAATCAAGGTGCTATCCTTGGAAGCTCCCACAGGTGGCTGGATTCTGCCAGCATCCTTCAGCAACCTGTCTTGGGCTGCTGCTGCTTCTTGGAACATTCCCTCGCAATCTTCCCACTTCAGTCTTCCAGGCTGGTCACACAAAGCAAGTGCTGTTTTCTTTTTGACCCCGCCATCGGGCTGGTCTTCCAAGCCTGGTAAGCAAAGTGTTCTCCAGCTGTACTTGGCCTGCAGGCCAGCCATGGCAGAGAAGGCAGCCTTGGTCAACCTGGAGGTGCCACTTGTGGCCTGAGTCTCATCTGTGCTCTGCTTCACTTTGCCAGCACTGGTCTTTTGGAAGCCAAGCATGGCCTTGCCATTGCACTCAGTCTCCACAACATCTCCACATGCAATGGCCTGGGCCAAAGCATCTTCATCACCTCTGAAGGTCCCATAGAGCATTATGGACTTTGGCACACTCTCCACAGATTCCTTTCCAAAGTTGGTCTCTTGGCTTTTCAAGATTCTGCAAAAAGTGGGATCAGCTGTGTTCATCTCCCATTTGCCAGTACCTGCATTTCTCTTGAAAAGAGAATTCACCAATTCAGTCTTGACTTTGCGGCTTCCTTTCTGCCACACTTCCACCACATGCTTGGGCAAAGCATTGCTTTTCAGCAACTCTTTGAACTTGGAAGCAGCATACTTGTTCCTGTTCCACTTCTCTTCTGGCTCAACACACTCATCCTCTTCTTTGGGGTCTTCTTCTTCTCCTTGCTCTTGTCCTTCTTCTGCATTTAAATTTAGCAAAGCAGCTTCATCTCCTGGAATCTCAATCTTTGCTTTCTTCAAACCTTCCCGCCATTTCTCCAGCTTGTCTGCCATGCTTTCTGCTTTTGCCTTGCTGCATGCTGGTCTCTTCAAAACCTTGGGGTCACTTTTCCTGCTGTCTTTCTCTTTCTTCGGTGAAGCTTTGGCCTTGCCTTTGGCAAGTGCCTTGGCCTTGCCTTTGGCAAGTGCCTTGGCCTTGGGTGTGGCCTTGGCCAAGGCCTTGGCCTTGGCCTTGGCTTTGGCCAGGGCCTTGGCCTTGGCTGCTGCCTTGCCCTTTGGTGTGGCTAAAGCCTTTGCCTTAGCATTGGTCTTTCCAGCTGGCTTCTTCTTCAATGCTGGTTCAACTTCCTCTCCTGCAACTTCTGTTGGTGGGTTTTGTTCTTCATCCTCTTTTGTTTCTTTTTCTGGAATATTCCCATCATCAGCAGAATCAGCCATAGCTAAAGGAGAACCTGGCAAATATCTACTTGTTTTCTTGGGTGGTGTCACAAACCCAAACATTGGTAGCCTTTGAGCCAAAAATGGCCTCAAATACAAAAGCTAAACACTGTGCATAATGAAATAAATGTGAACATATGTCACTTCTTTATTGCTTAGAACATACATTGCCCAAATATCATATGCCCCACGGTGTTGTAGACATATAAAAACAAAAACAAAACATACAAAAACATTTATTTTTTGTTTTTTGGTTTTACTTTTGGCATTGCAAGGTTTCCAATGCATCATTTCCACGGTGCTGATGCCAATTTAGTGCTGTGTTTTTTATTGAAAACAAAGCACCCAACACAACATATATATACATATAACAACAGCAAACCCAAACCAAAACAACATAATTTTGAACCAACAAATACCAAACAAACCAACATTTTTGCACTAAATGCTCAGCAGTTTGGCCCAAACTGCTCAGCAATTTCACCAAACTGCTCAGCAGTTTGGCCCAAACTGCGCAGCAGTTTGGTCAGCAGTTTGGTGAAAC